TTTTTTTTTTTTTTTTTTTTTTTGTCCTTGCAGTAAGTAATAATATACAATCAAGGAAAAAATATTTATTTTTATCTATGTGTATCACTGATTTTAAACTTGACTACTTAGAAAAAAGGAAGAATATATTTTACCTCTTTCCACAGCTGCAGACAAGTGAGCTTTAAAACAAATTGTTTAGGTTTCAGAAAGCCATTTCAAATACTTGTTCCTACCTGCCTTCGAGAAGCAATAGTGCTATTGAAACTTGTGCTAGTCATCTTGGAATTCACAGACTTGCTTTGGTGAGCCACATCATTCCTCCAGGTCTTAGAGTTTTCTTTTGGGTCTGAAGAGATGGGGTTCAGGAACAGTATTCTAGCAATCAGGCCATAGAGGACAGTTGCCAATACCATTGGCACAACATAAAATATACCAAAGTCCATCATGTAGATAGGAGAGTAATAGCTCCTGGAGACCTTGTAGCCACAGGACACCACAGTAGTCTCTTTGTAGGCTACTGTATTAAGGTCTAGCAAGAAAAACCAGAGCATACAGTATATGGAGGTGAAAGCCCAAACAAAAACAATGATCTTTTTGGCTCTTGAAAAAGTGCATAGGAATTGAGCTTTGATTGGGTGGCAGATGGCTATGTACCTCTCGATGGTGAAGGCAGCGATGGAGAAAGAAGAAGCATTGATTCCCAGGTACTGGAGATAGGTGATGCAGAGACACCCGACGTAGCCGTACACCCAGGATCTGTACAGGCTCTCTGTGATATTGGGCAGTCCTGCAGCCACAAGCACCATGAGATCTGCCACAGCCAGGCTCACCAGATAGCAGTTAGTGGGAGTTCTCATGTGCTTGGTTCTGAGGACCACCAAAACTACCATGACGTTGCCCACGATGCCCAGCCCGCAGATGAGGAGGACCAAGAGGATGGTAACCACTTGGTATTCAGCTGTAATGATCTCCCGGCTTGACAGTGGCAGCCCAGTCTGGTTCTGCTCGTCTCCTGTGCCATTCTCCATCTTCACCAGCCCGCTGCTGCTTCTCCAAGCACTCAATCTCAGCACCTGCTCTCCATGGTCCCCTGCAAAAGGGTCGCTGGAGCAGAGCGTGGGTGAACTGCCGCCCCCAGAATTTGTTCTCCATGTAGACACAGTCCCATTCCTGTACCGTCCTCCACTTCCCCTAAGGCACCTGGACTTCCAGTCTTTGTAAAGTCAGCTATCAGATGGGTTAATCCTCTAAGGCCCCAGTTCACTTGCACAGGCTAAAAGGCTGTTTTCTCACAGCTGCTTTGAGGCATTCACGGACACCCAGCCCGCGGAGGTGGGAGTTTCCTGCCTGCAGCGGCAGGGGAAGCGGAGCCCCTGCCCTGCCCTGGCAGCTGCTGAGCGCCGCCCGGGCTCAGCCCATGCNCTGAAAAGTCAAAGTTTACAGAGCCTGGGAAAAAAAGGATTATCAGTCAAACTTGATTGTTATAAGAACTTTATTCTATTATGTAATTTTCTTTTGAAAAAAGAAAAGAGCAACCATTGGGAATACCCAGGATAGCTGAAATGAAGTGAACGAGAAATAATTAAAAAAAATTAAACCCACTTTAAAACTAGTCTTTCTTTTATAAATAATTTAATTCTAGTGTAGACACTATTCAACAGTCTCTACATTAAAGAAAGTTTGAAAGCTATTAACAAAGAAAATAGAAGGCACACAGAAATGTGACATGGGACAATATGTTGGTACAGCCTCATGGAAGTCAGGAGATGACTCGATTAATTATGTGAAATAGAAAGTATTGGCACACATTTTGATGAGCTACAACTGTTTCTTCTGATTGTAGATTTATAAGAGTTTCAATAGGAGATAACTCCACTAAGATCACTCACACATGTTAGTTTTAGAAGTGGGCTTTAGTTTGAAGTTGTGAGTATATAATTCTATTGTCTTCTGACCAGATAAGCTCATTACATAGAAACCTGCCATCACAATGCCTCATGGATGTATTTTCTCCTATCTTTCTAGAAAGACACACTTTTAAGCCAATTTGTTTGGTTTGTTATAAGTATTACAATAAAGTATGTGATGAAAATCAAAGTTACTCTACAAATTGATATATCATTATCTATTTATTGGTCTTTAAATGTGCATATTCAAAGGCTGCCATTTTATCTTATAGTTCTTCCCTCACCCTTACTTTTGTTTTCTCTACAGCTGTGTTCAGTGGAAGTAAAAAATAAGACTGAGAAATGCTATCTCCTTTTTTGTCACTTGACTGATACATTTCATTATGACTTCTACACTGTTTCTTTTCTAATTTTCAGTGCACAATTGTTGTAATAGACAGAATAAAAACATGAATGCTCCAGGTAACTCAAAGGATGATCTCTCTTTATCTCCACTTCTGAAAGGACCATTCCTGTGAACATGGTGGCAAGGAGAGGGTTGACCCAGTACTGGCCCACTCTGGCTCTCATCCCTTCAGTTCAGCTGCAGCTGTGCCTCCAAACTGAGCAAATCCATTCCATGGAGAACAATCATTCACTGTAGGAAATAATCCACATTTAAAGGAAGAAAGCCACCATTTGTGGAGCCTGGGTGAACAATGGGACAGAGCCAAACCATACCAGATGTATTCCATCAGCTCAGGCACTCAGGGCATAGCAGCCTACACAGGCATCAGAGTACTTTGCTACCCGAAGCTCAGCAGGACACTCCATTATGGTACCTACCAGTCATTGGCCATTTACATTTCTTTCAGGAAAAATTGCTCAGAGGATCATTTGCAGTGTTGCAGCTATCAACTTGAATCTGGACTAGAAGTAAATTATTCTTACTGTCAAGGAGGGTCATTCAGAGTCACGCAATTAACATTGTACAGCAGTGAAAAAAACACTTTTATTCCTCAGTTGACTGTATCCCATACACTGCAAATATATATATATATACATATATATGTACTGTCTGCAGTACGTATCCTTCCAAAGCTGCCAAAAATAACAAAACTCCCACAAGATCTCTGTTGCCTGTCAGAAACTCAGTTTCCTGATCCATCTGACTGGCTGTGGCTGTCTCTGAGACACACAACGAGGCCCTGAATTCAGGTAGTGATTTGCTCATTGCCTCCTTAAGCTGGCTCTGGAAGGGCTCTTCATGCTCAGCTGCCTCAGAGCATGACCTGTGTGCAGGTCTGATGGGGTGCTCTGGCAAGACTGACTTAGCCCCAGCATGGGGGTTGTCACCCCTCTGCAAGGTGAGGCACCACTTAGGGCTTTTGACACAAAGTCACCTCAATTTGCTTTATAGGTGAACCCATTATCTAAATGCATAACTGAGGCCAAAGCTCCATTCTTATCCACACCAAAAGTCATTATAGCTGAACATAAATAATTTAGAGGAAAGTTTCATCCTCTTTGTTTAAGCAAAAAGCCACATCCTTTTTAAAATCACTTCATATGAAACAGAACTAAACATATATAGGAAAGAGGCGAATTATTTGACATTAGTGGAGTGCTAAGAGGACAAATTTTAAAAGAACATGATTTTTATTAGCTGTAAGCATACACCAAAGCTCCCTGAAAGCAGCAGCATTACATTCTCAATTCACTGCTCAGGTGAAGGTAAGCATACACAGATTGATCTTTTCTTGTTGATGTGCACTGTATGTCCTATGCTCAGGGTACAAATTATTCTTAGTTAGGAAGATTGAAAATATAGTAAAAAGTCTTTGAACAATTTCAGCTTAGTCCAAATTTTAAGTGTAGTTTGAATGATAACAAAAGAGCTTGAGATTGAATATGGTTCTGCCTGCATATAAACATTCTTCAAGCCTTATCTTTTTATTTCTGAGGATGTTCTAAAGAATATATAAAACATATTTTACTAATCAGAGTCTCAATATTTTGATTCTGAACTAGTATCCTCTTTTTCTTTCCTGCTCCAAAAGCTTCTTATTCTAAGGAAGGGTTTTTCTTAAACATTTTCACTATCTTGGTACAAACAATTTAGTATTGCTTACTTCTCCTTTGAGTACTAATCTTTCTTACACTGATAGGTAAAAGCAATAGACACTCTGGTGTTTTAAAGCCATGTAATAACATCTTTCTTCTTGTGCCTGGTTGTGTTCATTGCAACACACAGAGATTGCATATCCCAGTCCATGATTTCCTAATCAAAAAGAAGTTGTGCAATAAGGAGGAGAATTAAATAAATAAAAGGATTAAGGTCTTGATATACTAACACCACAAGTGAAACCAAGTGATAAGATTGAGGATTTCATGTAAACTGTGTAAAACTTGTCTCACACTGCAAGCTGGAATCTGTGCTTGCAGTGCTGTGAGAGAACAGAGGATTTCTCTGGTGAGCAGGTCATGACAGCAGCACTGTCTAAGAGAGGACTTTCTCCAGAGGGCAATCTGCCTGCTATTACTGACACAATAGCCATGGTGACCTTAGATTATTTGCTTGGACTAATCAACTAACTCTGTGAGATACACATAACGTTAGGTGAGCTGGATTCCATCTCAAGTTTAAACCAACATGTTTGCTATGTAAGGCTGCATTTTATTTTTCTCAGTCACCTTGATATCTGAGGAAAGTAGGAATTCCTTTGGGGAAAGTATGAAACTCACATGCAAACATGTAATTCAATATTCATACTGTGAATGGAAAATAAAAAAAAATCTGTGATCTGTGGGCTGCAGGACCCACACTGAAACAGAGGAAAAGGGTGAGAAAGAAGGAGTGACAAGGGACCAACCTCTGCAACCTGGCTGCAGCACTCTCTGGCCCCACACTCCTGGTTGCTGCAGGGAAGGGACTGAATGTAACTCGTGGCTACAACAACAGACAATAAATTGGCAATTTTAATTTTCCCCAAGTTTAGTCTGCACTGCCCATGACAATAAGTGATAATTTGTTTCCCTGTCCTTGCCTTCGATCATGAAGAATAAGAGCATTTCCCATTTTCTCTCCCATTCTCAACTGGAGACAACCCCCCTACAGAAACATGCATATATTTAATTTCATAGAAATGTTCTTGGATAAATATGAGAACTGCTACAGAAGTAGGAAGTTCACACCACATTTTCAGACACCTTTTCTACATGCTGGATATTGTACACTGCTCAATCCCTGTAGTGCAAACACAGGTCCAGGAAGACACAGAGTTTCACATTTCAGCAGGACTCACTGTCAGGCCAGACTGTATTGTCAGCTATACGTGTCCTTGTCAGTGTGGCAGGAAATTTTCCTTTTTGTGTCTTACTAACTGTTGAGATTCTAGGTTTTTTAAATATGTACTTGGTTTTTTTTTTTCTTGTTTTTTACACCACTGCCTATCTTTTGCATGTTGCTATTATACAAAAAGTATTACTAATTATGCCACGCTGTCCTTGCTTTACTTCCTGTATTGTACTATATACAAATTCTAGCTTTACTTACAATGAAGCAGCTTTAAGCAAACAGGTTGCTTAGGCTTTTAGAGAAAGTCTTGCTGTCTTTACAAGACATAAAAGATATCACATTATAATCTTCACTTTTTGGTTTTATGATATAACAGTATCCATATTCATCAGTGTTCAGTGTAAAAGATTTGTCTGTGTCTATGCACATGTAATCAAGTATATATCCATATTCAT